ACTTAAGATGATCCAAGCAAAGTAAGGAAAGCAATCTCAAATGCTTTCATTTACTTAAAATTATTTGGCAAGAGAATTCGACAGTTTAATGATGGTTTTATTTATTTATTTAGATTTATACCCCGCCCTCCCTGCAAGCGGGTCTGGGCCTGGCTGGGGCAATGGCACGCGTGCCCACAGAGAGGGCTCTGAGTGCCACCTCTGGCACCCGTGCCATAGGTTCGCCACCACTGCTATATAAACTAGGTGTATATCCTAAACAGTGATTTGGGACCTTGCATATGGAAAGCAGTGGCTCTACAGCTTAGCTACAGCTCTTCTCCCTTTTTTGTTGATTCTCACCGAGACAGATTTCCAGCTCTTCGATGGGTAGATGCATGCATTATTATGACTACTGCAAGAAAAGATTGATGGTTTTCTCACAGCACAATAGAATACTTTCTATATGTGTGTAGGGTTGCCAACCTCCTGGGGGGGTATCTCCCAGAATTATAGTTAATGAGACTAGTTTCCTTGGAGAAAAGGGCAGCTTTGGAGGGTGGACGTTGTGGCATTATACCCTGCAGAGGTCCCTCCCCTCTCCAGGCTCCACCTCTAAGCTCCAGGAATTTCCCAACCCAGATTTGACAAGCCTAGCGTGCCTGTATGTTTCAACACCCATGTACCTGCCCAGGGCCTGCTCAAGCTGCTTTGAACATTAGTTTTGTAGGGAATCCCAGCACAGCTCAGTTTGGTGTAGTGGGTAAGAGCGGTAGACTCTAATCTGGAGAACCGGATTTGATTCCCCACTCCTCCACATGCAGCTAGCTGGGTGACCTTGGGTCAGTCCCAGTCCTCTCAGAGCTGTTCTTTCAAGAGGAGTTCTCTCAGAGCTCTCTCAGTCCCACCTACCTCACAGGGTGTCTGTTGTGGGGAGAGGAAGGGAAGGAGATTGTAACCTGCACTGAGACTCCTTTGGGTAGTGAAAAGTGGGGTATAAAATAATTAAGAGGTTGGAGCACTTTCTCTTCAAAAGAAAAGGCTAAAACATTTCAAATTTGGTGGCGGCTGGCGGGGACGCTTTCGAATTTGGTGGTGGTAGAGATAACAAAAGGGCACATGATAGAAATTGCATAGAACTGCAGCCAGAGTAGATAGAATTTTTTCTCTCCCCCTCTCATAATGCTAGAATTAAAGATCACCCAGTCCAGGACAGACAAAAAAAAATACCTCTTCATGCATCGTAACTAATGTATGGGATTCCTTGTCATAAGATGTATTGGTGGCCACTGACTTAGATGGTTTTATAAGGGGATTAGACTACTTTATAGAAGACATGTCTGCCAGAGAGCCTGAAGGAGCCTCCATATTCAGAGGCAGCATGTCAGTTAGTGCCAGCCCTATATGCCCCACCAGGGCATGGCTATGGCCTTTCCTATCATGCTTGAGGTCTTTCTGAAGATATCTGGCTGGCTGCTGTTGGAATACCCAAAATTAGGTGGAGCCTTGGTCTGACCTAGCAAGGCTCTGATGTGATGTAATTGTGACAGTGAGCCCCGCCCTGTGCCATTTCTTTCAGTTAAAAAATCTCTACAATTTCTACATCATGGGGCCTAGTAATTGTTGGGAAAGTCCTTAAGGAAAAGATTAGGCTCGATGTCTTTTCTTTAGCTTTGCCCAGAAAGATTTTTTTTTACCAATAGAGCTATACTCTTTGGAAGACAGTGGTAGACATGGGGGGTGGGTGGAGAAATGTGCTTTAGATTCGTCTCCCTCCAGCCAACTTCTGCCTGCCTTATTTGGAGACACTTTCTCAAGTCTGGGAAAGAAAGGTCAGCAAGTGGAAGGGTAGGGAAGCAGAAAGCGTCTGAGCCATTTACAAGACCATAGAAAGCAGACTTTAAAGGTTCTTTTTCAGGCATTGTATGAAGAAAACAACATAAAAACAATCATGAGTCTATGCCTGGGAGGTGGGGTGGAGAAATTCTATGGCTGCTGAGGCAAGAAACAGGACTTCAAGCAGTTTCTCAGTGAATGTAAATGGAGGTTAAATTTGCAAATCATGCCTCCTTTCCATAAGCCCTGCTAGAGCAGACCAGATCTGTCCTCTGGTTCTAGCATCCTTTTTCCTGTGAAATGGAGGTTCCATTTAGCTATCACGACTGTCAAAAATATTATATAAATTATGCTAGGTCGATCTGGTGCATCACCTCGTTTCCAAAAGCAGCCAGCCAGATGCTCCCAGGCTTCGTCCTGGAATGTGCCTTCAGTGCCCAGGTTGAACTGGACAAACCAAGAAGACTAAGCTAAGTGAGCACCCAGGCATGTGCCTCATACAACTAGGGACAGCATCGCCCTATCTCGAGCACTGATTCATTCTACCTAATTTTCTTCTTTGGTTGTTTTTTTTTTGGGGGGGGGGAGGAATCCAAACATATGAATTTATGTCATGAGAGCCTTCATTTAAATAATGTTTATAGAACAGAAACAATTCTTGTTTAAGGAGAAATGTTCAAGTCCAGTAGCACGTTAAAAGACCAACAAGCTTTCCACGGCACAAGCTGTTTTGAGAGTCAAACCTGCCTTCATCAGATACCCGGCACAGGAACTTTGACTCTCAAAAGCTTGGTGGTGGTGGTGGCCTATTCATGGTGACCCCTTGTGGGGTTGCCAACCTTCCGGTGAGGCCTGGAGGAATCACAACAGAACTACTGAGAACAGTACCCCTTTAGGGTTGCCAGCACCAGGCTGGGAAATTCATGGATCCTTGGGAGGGCAAGCTTTGTGGAAAGAAAAGACCTCGGCAGGGTATAAGGCCATAGAAGTTGGAGTTGGCAACACTAACTCCTTCCCAACAGCCAACCTACCTTTATCTGCCCCTCAATCTTCAGCTTTCCTTCTCCCCTCCCCTGCCTGGCCCAGCAGCCTCTGCGTAGGAAAACTGTCCCAGTTGCATGGTGCTGGTCACTGGGCCAGGCCCACTTGCATGGGAGGAAACCCTCAAGGACTTGTGGGATGGCATCTCACTTTTCTTCTCTGTATCCCCTTCCCCACACTTCCCCCCCCCCCGTCCTCCTGGCCACCCTCCTATCCTTTCCCCTTTCTCTGCCTCATTCTAACCTTCTCAACCATTCAGCAACCTACCTTTATCTGCCTCCCATCTTCAGCTATATTTATTATTCATTTACATTATTCTCCTCTCCTTTTCATTCACACACCAACCCTATGAGGTAGGCTAGGCTGAAAGTATCTGACTGGTTCATAATCACCCAGTGAGCTTCCACAGTAAGATGGCAATTTGAACCTGGGTCACCCAGACCTTACTCTGAAACTCTAACCGCTGCACTTTCATAGGGTGGCTGCTGTTGAAGAGTAGGAAGCAGCCAGGCCTAGTTGAGTCACTCAGGTGACATCAAGTCACCCAGAGGGTACTTCCAGGCCTAGAGCTGCCCAACATCCAGATGGGTCCTGAAGATCTCCCAGAATTAAAACTCCAGATGACAGTTCTGTCCCCCTTGAGAAAAAACTGTTTTGGTGGGTGGACTCTATGGCATTATATTCAGCTGAGGCCTCTCCACTCCCCAAACCCTGCCCTCTTCAGACTCTACCACAAAATCTCCAGGAATGTCCCGAACTGGAACTGGGAGCCCTAGTCAGGCCTGAGCCCAATGAGTCCTCCCTCAAAGGCCAAAATAGGCCTGGAAAGGGCCCTGCCCTCCCACCCTGCCTTTTACTGACTGAGCCAAGCCTGGAATACTGTGTTTGCCTAGCAAGAGCCACTGAGGAAATCTGTTGATTAAAGCTACAGAAGATCCCTTCATCATTAACTCCCCCAATATTTGGGTTTTTTTAGATTTCACATTTTTCTGCAAACCCGGGACCCTTTTCAGGTTTGTAAAAAAAGATCTGTTTTGCCCATTCACAGCTCCAGTCATCAGCTTTTTAATTATCCAAAGATTTTTTGACTTTAGTATTAGAATACAAGATAGATATAGATATAAATATATGCCCAATTAGCTTCTGTGACTGTGGTGAACATGGCATGGTGTTTAAAAGTGGTAACTTACAGAAGTTATCTGTTAAAGCAAGGGTCCATTTCCAGTAAAATTTTAAGAATTGAAGAAAAGAATAACTTTCCTTATTTAAAGATCATAGATACCAAAATAAAATCATAAAGACATTTGGGCTTGTTGAGAGGGTTATAGATGTTTCTCTTGATTGTCAAGAAATCATAGATTTTCTATTCATTTCCTTGAAGCCCCTGCCTGGAAAGAGGGCACCACCATTTAGTGAAGAAAGAGCAGCTCAGGCCCCAAATATAGTGGAGAGGGGATGGAGATGTGCCCGAGCACATCTCTCTCTCTCTCTCTGTCTACAGATGAAGACTTGAAACGCATACCCATTAGCAGTTTGTCTTTAGGATTCCCATATAAAGTGGTGCTAATGTAGCATAGCTGAGATCAGTTGACAGTTTGGTATTAAATCAGGCTGGCGCCTTGATGCCAAACGTTGACACTGGTTCAACAAACATTTTAAGGTCCAGGCTAGTCATTAGTAACTGGAAGGCTCACCCATAGTTACCCATAGTTACCAACTCCATTGCAATCCCCTCCCCCCTTCTACGGTGTGTGCTGCGTTGATTTAAATGTCAAAAGGGAGTGCAAGACAGACTAATCACTACTCTTCACTGGATCCAAAGCAGCTGCAGAAGAAGGAACAGAGACCCAACTGCAAAAATAAGGAGAGGACTGCCCTGTTATATTCACAAGTAACATAGACACGAAAGAATAAGGTACATATTTGAAACTGTTGCCATATCCTGCAAAAGTGCAGAAAAGGGCAACACGAATGATAAAAGGGTTGGAACACTTTCCCTATGAGGAAAGGTTAAGGCGCTTAGGGCTCTTTAGCTTGGAGAAACGACGACTGAGGGGTGACATGATTGAGGTTTATAAGATTATGCATGGGAAAGAGCAGGTAGAGAAAGAGGTACTTTTCTCCCTTTCTCACAATACAAGAACTCGTGGGAACTCCATGAAATTGCTGAGCGGTCGGGTTAGAAAGGATAAAAGAAAGTACTTCTTCACCCAAAGAGTGATTAACACTTGGAATTCACTGCCACAGGAAGTGGTGGCGGCTACAAGCATGGACGGCTTCAAAAGGGAATTAGATAAGCATATGGAGCAGAGGTCCATCAGTGGCTATTAGCCACAAGGTATAGCTAGGGGCTCTGGGGCAAGTGATGCTCTGTCTTCTTGGTGCTTGGGGGGGGGGTCAACAGTGGGAGGGCTTCTAATGTCCTGGCCCCACTGGTGGACCTCCTGATGGCACTGGTATTTCTGGCCACTGTGTGACACAGAGTGTTGGACTGGATGGGCCTTTGGCCTGATCCAACATTGGCATATCTTATGTTCTTATGTATGTTCTTATCATGAGAATTTGGCTATGAAGTTTCTAGCTTTCTGCCATCTCCTTTCTAAGATTGCATTAGAAGCATGGAATTAGGCCTGACAGCTAAATGGAACCTTCATGTATGGAGGCTGTATACCTCAGAACAGCAGATTCAAAGAACATGTGGGGAGTACCTGTCACGGACTATCCACTTAGCTTCTGAAATAGACTAAAGGGTCTCACATTCTGTGTCACCTACAGTAACACTGTTACTTACAGTATCACCTTCAATAATGCTGACAGTAACAACAGCCAGTTCACCCAAGCACTGGTACACGGTTAACTTTCTCTGTGTTACTATTTCAGGTATTCTCAAAAAAAAAAAAAATTAAGCTCCTATAAACTTTGAGGCAACCAAGTTGCTTCCATTTGCAAAAATGCACATTTATAGTTAATATTCAAAATGATTGCCAAATAGGAAGAAGCCTAGTATGAAAAGTGTGCCATCAAAATTGTTGAATGGGCTACAAGGCAATCAAAAGTAGAGTATTCAAAAGCTGAACAAATGGGGGTGCTGCCAATGATGTTTCTCACCTGGGATCTGGTCATAGCAATAGTCCAGTGGCACCTTAGAGGATGCCATTTGGTTTCGGGCTGCCTGATACCAAGGCATTGTTTACTTATGTACTTCATTTACAGCCTGCCTTTCTCACACTAAGACCCAACGGAGATTACAAAATATAAAAAGAAAGCCACCAAGAAAGCATAATTCATCCAATGAACAATGCAATAGGACTGGGACAGCAAAATAGAATGCAGACCTCAAAAAGTAAGACAGGATGTACCATAATCAATTCAGAAAATGAATTACACAAGTAGAAGACAAGGCAGCAAAATCAAGATTAATAATACAATAATAAGTGCAGTACACCACAGTCTTCTAAAAGCGCTTTCTCAAACCATTCCATTATCCTATAGCCCTACTTCTGTCATCAAAAACTCTCCTGAACATTTCTGTTTTGCACAGTCTTCAGAAAACCATTATGTTCTCTTCCTGCAGCTGAGGACAGGAAACCTTTGAGCTTATGGACTTGGATTCAACAAGTTGGATTCAAACAGCTTTTCTGCTGCTGAAAAAGGGAGAACCTTTGACCACCAGAAAGGCTGTGCTGAGGATCACAGGACCTGCGTGGACAAAAGCCATATGGGGTGGGGCTGTAGTATGAAAGGAAGTTAGGAGAGATTAAGCGAAAGAGCGGGTAGGAGCCAACTTCTAGCCCTTTTCCTTCTTGTCACAGCCCCCAATGTCCACCCAAAAGTGGCATGTGCTCCTGAAGTGGAAAAGGGTAGTCAGTAGGAATCACCCTCTATCCTCCCATGAAGTACAATGCTACCTGCGCACAGTGGCTGGGGTTACCAACAGTCCTGGAGAAAAATGTCCTGTCCCTTCAGTAGAATGGAAATGGGTAGCTGAAGCTTTTCATGTCATGGCAGTAAATTACATCCCTCTATTAAACCTGTGCCCTGACCTGGATTCCCCAGGCTAGCCCAACCTCATCAGATCTTGGAAGCCAAGCAGGGTCATCCCTGGTTAGTATTTGGATGGGAGACCACCAAAGAAGTCCAGGGTTGCTATACAAGGGCAGGCAATGGAAAACTGTCTCTTGCCTTGAAAACTGTATAGGGTTAAGTGGGTTGTGACTCAACAATACTTTCCACCACCATTAAATCTCTGTTAAAGGGTCAGGACATTTTTTTCTTCAGGCAGTTAGTAACCCAAAGAAAGGGAATGGGGGTATCATTTATTGTATTGTTTATTGAATGCATTATTTTGTTTTTACTGCATTGTCTTCTAATTCTTGTAATTCAGTTTTTGCATTGTTTATGGCACATCATACTTTTTAATGCATTGTTTTATAATTATTTAATCCATCTTGATTCACAGCGAGAAAGGCAGACTAAGTAAGTAAATTATGTGCATGTAAAGTGCTATTAAAATCAATTGGTCCTGTGTAAATTAGCATAGGACTGTTATCAGTCTAAATTTGTGGGGATCTGGTTTCCATTGTTACAATTTATGTCTGAACAGGGAGTAATTCCTTCGAACACTTACTATTGCAAGATGCTGTTCTTGTAAAGGAGTAATAGTTAAATCTTATTTTTTTTATTTGTTGCTTATTTGATCCTCATTGTTATTATTCATAAAGTAATCACATTAATAATAACAATAAGGATGTGTTGAACAACATCAAATAAGCAAATGGAGATTCAGAATGTTTAAATTGTGTATATGTAATGTATGCTATCAAGAGTTTGAAAATAAAATAAAATTTAAAAATGAATGATCAATACATTAATTTGCAAAGTCATTATATTTTCAGCCTTATAACTTACATTGTTGATTTAAACAAAACAATGTATTTCCCCCCCCATGCTGAATAAGTATGTTTCTCTCCATTTATCTGCACTGTGATCTCCTATAAACTTTTCAGGGTGGTTGTTTGTAGTCGGGGTTTTTTGCCCCTTTCACTCTTGAGGCATTCCTAACAGCTGTTCCCCCCTCTTAGCCCTTTCTTCCTACAGCTTTTGGCATGTTCCATTCCAACGCCTTAAGAGGTGGTTGTAGCTCCCCTTAGGACAGAAGATTGCAATGATGCTTGTAACCATTTCAGTAGTATGAAATTGATTCTGCAGGCAAAATTCCAGTGGACATGTTTTTCCCCCTTGAAATAAAATATTTTGATTAGCTGATGAAATATCCCATATGGTGAAGTATTATTTGAGGGCAATATTAAACATCAGACTATTATTAATAAAAGGAAAGCCCAATGTATAATACGATTCTAAACAAAGTTACATCTTTTAAGTCCACTGGAGTCAAGCCCAGTGTCAGATGGAGACCCATATGTGCCTCCCTGAGCTCCTTGGAGGAAGGGTGGAATAAAAATGTACTAAATTAACAAGTAACATTGATCAAACAGAGAAATTAAACAAACCCTTAAAAATGCTAAGATACACTGGTGAGTGTTGAGAGTCCCATATAGGATTGTTAGCATTCACTACTGGATGTCTTAACAGTGGGAAATTTTACATTTATTTTTCAGACAATGAAATTAATCTGGAATTGTCTGCATTCAGGTTAATATTCAGATTTTGGACGTTCACTGAAGCACATATACTATAATCCCAAAGAATTTTTTATGCATCAGTGTATGAATGACATAGCATGGGATGGCCACACGTAGTTTCCTTTCATATATTTTACAGACTTTTAAGAATCAGCAGGCCTGAAGCTAATTTAGAAACCTTGATATGCTTGTTTTCTATATGGATTTTTTCTCTATGACAGAACATTCAGTCCTGTGACATCTCATGTGATCTAAAGAGGTACTGCCCAAGCACAGTTAAACCATCTCCTGACAAAGCTAAAGAACATTAAACTGGGTTGTTATAGTGTTTCCTCACATACGTATAAAGTGAAGGGTGCAGCAGATGAGGCAGATTGAACCCTTTCCTTCCCAGCTTTACTTGCCCATGTTCTGCCACTTCAGGTACCTTCCTCTCAGTCTGGCTCAATTCCAAGTTCAAAGCCAGGCAGGAATGGGGGGAGGGTTCCTCTGTTCTTGCCTTCTGTGCATCTTAAAATAAAATTAGTTCCCCACCCCCTGCTTTATATGCAAATGGAACATATAATTGGACAACAAACAACATGGCTCCCCCTGTCAGGTCTAGTTGGACACTAAAAGAACTCAGCCTTACTTACGATTAACAACTGTCCTTTGAGGGATGGGCTCTAATTATGTTTTTAAAGACACAGAACTAACAAAAGAACACTATATAAAGCCACAATCTGTTCCTGAAAATATCCCAGGCAGAACATTATTACAAAGTAAGTCCATTTATTTTTAATCCTAATTTTACAGTGAGAGGAACTGTAAGAATAAATCAAAATGGAATACATGCAAATCCATCTGGCCACAGATCTATTCAGAGGAAATATTTATTTTACTTAGGACTTAATTTGAGTTGAAGCTCAGCCCCAAAATTGGTAAGAGTTTCAAGGCAAAGGGTATGATTGAAAGGCAAATCTGAAACCCAAAGCATTTGTTTTAGCAATTCAACACAGCTCTTTACCTGTGTGTGTGGGGGAAGCATATGGAAAACCTATGCGTTTTCTTCCTGTGATCGTACAAGAATGCAACCATGGGGAGGGGGGGGAGAGAGAAAAAAAAAAGAGAGAGAGAGAGAGAGAGCGAGAGAGAGAGAGAGAGAGAACGAACTGATAATGGTGTTTCTATCAGCCAGTTCCCAATATTCTGGTTCCATTTAGAGTATGCAGCTCGGTACCTAAATTAGCAGCCAGATCTTTTTTATTTTTGAAATATCAAGGCCAGAAATCAGAAATGGTTTGTGCCAAAAGAGCCCTACTGGTTTCAGTGGAGCTTTGCTGTGATTTATTCCACAAGTACTTCTAAAATACAGTTGGAACTTGGAGGGGAAATCCCTTAGAAACCAAAACTAGCTAAGCTGTTTTTTATAATCACCTATAGCATATCCTGGTTGTCCCCCCTCCATCCACAGCATACTGTTAGTATTTAGAGTTCCTGCCTTAGTGGTGGAACCTGTTGTCAAGTCACAG